CTCGGCAACGTATACTCATACGGCAAAAAGTCTATAAACCGGCAGTTGACTTCTCACTTCAAACTACCCTCACCCCACTGTATGTCATATTCGACTACTCCCACAGTACTCACCTCTCCTTTTTTCTACCTTCGCCTTTGAAGCACTCTTCTGTTCCCCCCCCTCTCGACTTTTTTTCACTTTGATGTTCCTCCTCCCCTCTGTGAAGCCTGAAGTCAACTAAAGGGCTAATGATAACCAACAAAACGCCAGTCATTTGATATAAATAATGTCCTTAAAGGGACAAGGCCTTCGATCATTAGGCTAGACATCGCGTGGGACCATGCCAAAAATAACTCCTAATTTAAAGTATCATTTAACGAGACCACTGTCTGTCAGAGACCACTACTTACATTAAGCCCCTAAAATCGTGACATGGTTGAAGCTAAACGCTCAGGTAATTACGTACGTAAACGAAGTTCTACTTGGATCTGTAACTTACATATTTATTTCAAATAGCGGGCTTTATGCCACTTATCAGTAGCCCTTTAGCTGGCTTCCAGCTTCACAGAGGGGAGGAGGAACATCAAAGTGGGAAAAAGTGGAGAGGGACAACAGAAGAGTGATTCAAAGATCTAAATGAGATAGACAGACGCAAAGGCAGAGAAAAGGTAAGATGGGTACTGTGGAAGTGGTGGAATATGGCATACAGTGGGGTCATGGTAGCTTGAAGTCAGAAGTCAACTGCAGGTTTATAGACTTTTTTGCAGTATGAGATCACGTTGCCCAGGTTGCACCACGTGGAGGCACGTAGTGTATGGGCTATGAGGAGAACACAGCGGGCAAATTCTGGGCTAAATAACAAGTACTGACCAAAAGAATCTCATGCGCACTCGAACATTCTGGAAAGTGCGAAGGCATGCAACTGCGAACATGCGTAAAGAAACCTCCCAGCCAATCAGTGATCAATATTCCCGAAGGCCANCCTCCAGTACATAAGTAACTAATGATGTTCCACTGACGGGGTGTGCGATAGACTTACCTCCACGTGGTGCACCCTGGGCAACGTATACTCATGCGGCCAAAAAGTCTATAAACCGGCAGTTGACTCCTGACTTCAAACTCTCATGGCCTACCGCAAGTCATATTCGATCCCTTCCACAGTACTCACCTTTACTTTTTCTCTACCTTTGTGTCTGTCTATCTCTTTTACATCTGTGAATCGCTCTTCTGTTCCCCACCCCTCGACTTTCTGCTACTTTGATGAACCTTCCCTCTGTGAAGCCCGAAGTCAGCTAAATGGCTAATGATAGTTATCAAAACGCCTGCTATTTGAAATAAATAAATAAATAAAAAATAAATGTTCCACTGACATATTTGCGATCCTCTAACATGCAAGCGCATAACTCTACGGATTTGTTAAAAAATGGAATTTGAATGTGAAGGGTTGGAAAATTCTTATCTGCAGTGCAGTTAAGGGAGGAAAATGAAGAACTAATCAGCCCCCCACCTAAATGCACAGGCACTCAATTTCAGAACTTTCAGTGAAAGTGGTTAAGGAAAGCGCTGTTACCTAATAAATGGGAGCTTTTGCCTTGATCCCAAAGCTTAGTTACCACAATTGAAAGATGGAAGGAAACAGAGGTGCTAGAGAAGGAAAACAATGGTTACCCTCTACTTGGTGTGAAAAAATAGGAATGGCATATAGTTGATATAGTTTCACTTACGAAGCCCTAAGTGGTCGACACGTAGCTACAAGCTCCAATTTATTCAAATAAGTAGTAAATTAGCAAGAAATCGATGTTTAAAAGGTTGTTCGTTTGATTTAAAATAAGAGGAATTTTGGTTATCTGTCTAACTCCGTAGGCAGTTGGGTATGAACAATTCCCATTATTAATGAAATATTGATGAGTTTTAGGATGAGACTTGAAGGAGAAAAGAAGGAATATAGCAATAATACGTAATTGATTCCATTTAATTTTAAATGGCATTTATTATAATATTAATAATAATTAAAAGGAATTAGAGGATTTCAAATGACTAATTTCTAGGAGTTTCAAATATTACGAAAGGCGAGGGGTTTTGAAACATCATGCCATATATGAAGACTATCTTAATCTACTTCAAGGAATAATTTTAGCAAATCCATATTCCAGTTCGAAAGCAGGAAAGAGTGTCAACAAATATTCCGAGTAGAGAAAGATCAAATCCCAAAAGGTCCTACCTTCTAATACGAACTTAGAAACTTAAGGATGCACGTCTGTGGGACACGTTATCGCTGTGTGCGTCATCGTATGTCTGCATGTCTGCTCGCCAGAATTGGGAGGTGCGGCCGTACAACTCTGTGTGCAGCGACCGTACAAACAGTGACTAATCATCAACCTCTGTTTAACCTAATCCCCCCATCCTGATCATGAGTAGCTCCCTGCGTGTACACTTTTATCCGCAATATACCCACTGAATAAACGTGCTCCGTGCTACACGTCTGTTTCCTTTATAGCCGGGCTATAGCTTAGCTGGTTCTGGGAGTCTAGCTAGATGTAGGAGGAACTGCCATAGAGATTTCTGAGTCNATTAAGCCCCTAAAATCGTGACATGGTTGAAGCTAAACGCTCAGGTAATTACGTACGTAAACGAAGTTCTACTTGGATCTGTAACTTACATATTTATTTCAAATAGCGGGCTTTATGCCACTTATCAGTAGCCCTTTAGCTGGCTTCCAGCTTCACAGAGGGGAGGAGGAACATCAAAGTGGGAAAAAGTGGAGAGGGACAACAGAAGAGTGATTCAAAGATCTAAATGAGATAGACAGACGCAAAGGCAGAGAAAAGGTAAGATGGGTACTGTGGAAGTGGTGGAATATGGCATACAGTGGGGTCATGGTAGCTTGAAGTCAGAAGTCAACTGCAGGTTTATAGACTTTTTTGCAGTATGAGATCACGTTGCCCAGGTTGCACCACGTGGAGGCACGTAGTGTATGGGCTATGAGGAGAACACAGCGGGCAAATTCTGGGCTAAATAACAAGTACTGACCAAAAGAATCTCATGCGCACTCGAACATTCTGGAAAGTGCGAAGGCATGCAACTGCGAACATGCGTAAAGAAACCTCCCAGCCAATCAGTGATCAATATTCCCGAAGGCCAAAACAGCATGAAGTGAATTTATTAACCCTTGAACGCCCCTAAGGATGACACGGTCCACTTTCGAACCAACCTCCATTGGCACTAGTCTCAAAACAGAAGGCACTGTTGGCCTAATACCTCCAAAACGCATCACGTTGACGGCATCAGTCTTCCTTGAGACACACATGAGAGGTGGTGGGTGTATCTTTCAAAAAAAAGAATCCCGGCGTTAAGGCATTAAACAAGCATCTCCCATTTTTGATCATTTGTTTTTGTAGTAACCTCCCTATCATCTGTGATTCTCGCTTTCCCACTAATTTTGACTTAACCTAGCGGCTATTTAAGTCAGATTTGTACTAGATGACCTGCTAGAAGGTGGTTGAACTTGGCTGCAGCCAGTTCGACTTCTAAGTGGATTTCCAAAATGAGGCAAAATGTTCACTTTTGTGCAACCCACCACAGACCGACGTGTAGCCGTGCAGGCGTAATTCACCGACTTGACCTAGAAAACAAAAATGATTTAGGGCCTAACATGAGTTAAACCTGTCTGTTAACTGGTCTATTCATGTTCAAAACATTTAAGAAAATGAGCTGAGATTAGAGGGAGGGGGGGGGAGGGACATTTTTAGATTATTGATTTTAGACTTCTATGCAAAATAGGTAATTTGAATTATTCAAGATGGGAAATGCTTCTCTAAGCAAATCCAATCGGATTCAGACTGATTGAACATAGTCAGAAACTTGTCTGATTGCCGTGTCAATGAAAAGACTTTCAATCCAAATGTGTTTGGCACGGCATAAGGATATGATCTTTTTTCAACTACCGAATTGTAGGATGATTCATAACCAAATCGCTTCATTCTGTCAAAGTGTGAAAATATCTGTCCACTAAGATTGAACCTCATTATTCTAGTAATGAAATATTCACCTTAGAATGCCACCAAATCTCAGATTTCAATTGTCGGTTAATATTGCCAGTCGAGGAATCGTAAATCTATAAACACTATTTTAAGAACATGGAAAGACACCTTTAAAAGAAACTCTCAATTCCTATAAAAACCGAAATATGACTCATGGTAGAACTAATCATTACAGTCCATTACTCATAGCCAGTTATCTAAGAGTAGAATTATAACTGTAATTAAGTGGCATTTGCAACGATAAATATCCCCATACACTTGCTGTTCCCAATAGCCTTGGATTGATCATATAAATCACCCCGTGTGCGATCCCACAGTCACCCTGTTTACTAGTGCCACCCGCATTTCCCATCAGTAGCGCTTAAATCTACACAATAAAAATGCTGATGAAATTAAAAATTTGACATGCTTAACTTGCACAGCGCAACTCATGGCCGCTCATATTCATAAGTAGCATATGAAACTAAAAGACTCATTAGTCTTGTACGTGAAGCCTACTAACATTTCACCCCCATTCTAAAAGGTGGGTTGTCCAAAAATTGGTGGACGATTGCAATTATCCAAATGATCGTTAATTAAGGTCAAACAAGGGGGCGTAATATTAAAAACAAAAATGAATTATCAGAACGGCAAGACAATAACCAAAGATTGAGATTAAAGATTGTAAGCAGGGGCTATTGGATACATCCCGCCCCCACAAACAACGCTTCCAAAACCTCCTGTGAAGACCCAACACTTAACAGCCCTAAAGTATTAAAATCAATAAAGTACTCATGAGTAGACCTCCAACCAAAATAATTGGTTGAACTAAGACGAAAATAACTGAAGAACTGCGCATTTCAAGCCCATTTAATAACATAATCTGAAAAAGTGAGATAGGGTTTAAAAGGTCATTATATTATTGATTTCATCAAGAACAAGCTGCAACTTGTATAAAAAATAATTAACAACCCAAAAAGCACTGGGCATGAAGGAATTCTAGAATTCATCTCCGTCATCAGCTTCCTGTTCGCCACTGTCAACACCAACCTCTTCGTAATCCTTCTCTAATGCCGCGAGATCTTCACGAGCTTCAGAGAATTCACCCTCCTCCATACCTTCACCCACATACCAATGCACGAAAGCACGTTTGGCGTACATCAAATCAAATTTGTGATCAAGACGAGCCCAAGCTTCGGCAATGGCTGTGGTGTTGCTTAGCATACAGACAGCACGTTGAACCTTGGCCAAATCACCTCCAGGAACAACAGTTGGAGGCTGGTAGTTAATGCCCACTTTGAAACCAGTAGGACACCAGTCGACAAACTGGATGTTTCTACGAGTTTTGATTGCTGCAATGGCGGCATTAACATCCTTGGGTACTACGTCACCTCGGTAGAGAAGACAGCAAGCCATATACTTGCCATGACGTGGATCACACTTTACCATCTGGTTAGCGGGTTCAAAACAAGAGTTAGTGATTTCGGAGACAGTCATCTGTTCATGATAAGCTTTTTCCGCTGATATAACTGGGGCATAAGTAGCCAGTGGAAAATGAATACGAGGATATGGCACCAAGTTAGTTTGAAACTCTGTTAAATCAACATTGAGGGCACCGTCAAATCGCAGCGATGCGGTAATTGAGCTCACAATTTGACTGATCAAACGATTTAGGTTGGTGTAAGAAGGTCTACCTATATCCAAATTACGCCTGAGAGGAGTTAGGCAAGTATTTTAATAATTACCTGCAGATATCGTAGATAGCCTCATTATCAACCATAAATGAACAGTCAGAATGTTCAAGTGTGGTATGGGTTGTTAAGATGGAGTTGTAGGGTTCAACAACGGCAGTTGAGATTTGTGGGGCTGGGTAGATTGAGAACTCAAGCTTAGCCTTTTTACCGTAATCAACACTCAACCTTTCCATAAGAAGTGAGGTGAAGCCGGATCCTGTGCCACCACCAAATGAATGGAAGAGCAAGAATCCTTGAAGACCAGTGCATTGATCACTGAGCTTGCGAACACGATCAATTACGTGATCGATAAGCTCTTTTCCGATTGTGTAGTGACCACGAGCGTAATTGTTTGCGGCATCTTCTTTGCCTGTGATTAATTGTTCAGGGTGAAAAAGTTGACGATAAACACCAGTGCGAACTTCATCAACAACAGTTGGTTCCAGATCGACAAAAATGGCACGAGGCACATGCTTGCCAGATCCAGTTTCACTGAAGAAAGTGTTGAAAGAATCATCACCACTGCCGACTGTTTTATCAGAAGGCATCTGACCATCAGGTTGAATACCATGCTCCAAACAGTACAATTCCCAACAGGCATTGCCCATCTGGACACCGGCTTGACCAACATGGATACTAATACATTCACGCTAGAAAATATAAGATGAGGAAATGGAAACCAACCATTTTTCTTTAGCAAACGGGGCAAATTAAAACTGCGCGGCAAGTGCTGAAGCCTATATGGAAAGAAATACTCTCGTCTAATTGGTTCGATTTCTTACCTATGACGCAAATCGCAAGCCAATCAATTATCTGCAAATTTAAAAGTTAAGCTTCCGCTGAAGATTTATATCTGCATTAGTAACAAACAAAAGCACTGATTTATTTATGTTAACTATTGCTAAAATACAAGAAGGTCCAACGTCTTGCTTTTATTATATAATGAGTTTAAATCATTTATTATTCATTTTCAAGGAAACTTATTGTATTACAAGTAAGTATATTATCGAAATTGAAATTTATGCAAATTATAAATTACTTGTTTGCGAATCCTTCATAAATGCTTTATCATTAATTTAGATTGACTGAAGTCAATTCATCATCAATATTTGATCATTTTATTCGAATTCAAGAAACCACGGCTGAAGATATTATTAATCAAGAATACATATCAATTATATATTTAGTACTAATTATCTTTTATAAACTGGGACTTTCTGCTTTGCTAAAGATATCGTGGACCATTTAACAATGAGATTAGAATTATTGACAGATGATGATAACCACTAAAGTGGAATATACAGCAAACTCACTCTTAAAATTTCAGTCCTACTAGAAAATATCTACATCCGATTAAAAAAATCTAAAGCAATTAGAATTGGGAGAATGGAGATTATTACCAATTTTAGAATAATTTTTAATTATATTTAAAATTTCATAATGCTTTATTTACATGATCTCCTCTCACTATTGCTCTCTTACAACTCTGTATGAAAATAAAAAAGCAGCCTTTTATTCTAGATTGACCAAAAATATATTTAATGTATTAAATAAAATCATCAGTATTCTACCGTTGTTCATCTTAAAGTGAGTAAGAGATTAATTACCGATTCACTCAATTATAACTTCATAATTATAATAAGCCAAGTAGTAAAACAAACTGCTCTATCTTATGTGCCAAAAAACTTTTCATCGAAGTTGAGCAATCCAGTAATCATTTGAAAATGGAAATGCATAAGAAACCTAAAAGTTTGATTTTACTTTCTTTAAAGAATATGTGAAAATGTGATCTTACGCAAAATCATGAACATTTGCGCAATATTCATTCGAATGTATGTCTTCTACCTGTTCCATGACGGCTTTTATTTTATTCGAAAATTCAAATGCATTATATATAACTCAGTGCTATAGAAACGGCAGATGATAAATGTTGAGTGCAAGAATTTATTTGAGCATTTATTTTATTAAACGTTGGGTGTGTGATAGACTTACCTCCACGTGGTGCACCATGGGCAACGTATACTCATATGGCAAAAAAGTCTATTAACCGGGAGTTGACTTCTGACTCCAAACCACCATCACCCCACTGTATGTCATATTCGACTACTTTCACGGTACTCACCTCACCTTTTTTCTACCTTTGTGTCTGTCTCTCTTACATCTTTGAATCACTCTTCTGTCTCCCCCCCCCCC